TTTTAAATATAAAAAAAAAATAATGTGAAGGATGAAATAAACAAATTGAATTAAGAGAGTACGGAACAAATAACACAAAATTAAGAAGTGGTAAATGTGTATATATAATGGCCTTGGCCAACCAACAGTTAACATGGTAATATCAGCAACATATTCCTTGTTGCCGATTTTTGGTTAGTAAAAATATAAGAATAACAACAATATGGTATATGTTGCTAATGCTTTATGTGCTTGGAAAATTTTCCATAACATATCTCTATTTTAGCAACAAGAACCATGTTGCTAAAAGTGGAGCTCAATTTTAGGTGGATAATGTGCAATGTGTGGTGGCTGAAATATTTTCGCAACATGGGGTATGTTGCTGAAATTCACTTTCATCAACATACCCCTTATTGTTGAAAGTGGAGTAGCCATTTAGGTAAGAGAGCGTATTGTATAACTTTCAACAAACAGAGTTCTTATCGGTGAAAATCTATATCACCAACAAGGTCACCCATGTTGCTGATACCTTGTTACTTAAAGTAAGAATTTTAGTAGTGATGGCAAAAGACAACTAATGTAGTGCTTGATATGTTGTCAAGTGGTGCACATCTCAACCACCTAAAAAACAAATTTAAAGGAACAAAAACCAAAAAGAACGGAGTTTTATGCAGACAACATAGCTCTTTTTTAGAACACACTTTAATGAATTAAAACTTCATTTTTGTTATTATTATTATTTTTAAGAATAATAAAAAAGAACTCCTATTGTACATGCTCTTATTGCTTTAAATTTATGACTTTTTGCCATTGACATTGTTGATCATACAAAGTGCAGTCTCTGGACTTCACACTACTATCTATTCAAAAAGAAAAGTCTTCAAATTGGTGAAATTAAATGATTTTAGAGTATCCCATAAAGAAAAACAGAAAATAAATAACTTATGGGACCCCGTTAGATAACTTGAACGTAATTTGGACTCCATTATATCAATTGGAAAGTTAAGGATCTTGAAACAAGGAACCAAAATGATAAGGTTGAGGACCACCATACCAATAACCCAAAGATGATAATAATTTATTTATTGCTATTTGCCTATTAGCCATTTTTCCTTTTTTTTTTTTCTTTTCTTTTTTTCATTTTAACATCTCTTGCCCCTAACCAACATTAACGGTCACTCCCGCCCAGAACACAGAAAGCCATTCCAGATATCTTCTCCTTGCATTGGCCTTTCAGGGAGAGAAAGACTCTCCATTAATGGGTTCGTTTTCTTTATCATAATCCAATCTTCATTGAGACGAATTTCCCAATCCGTGCGGGCTGAATCGACTGAATTTGTCAAGTAAACGAGTTTCCTCGGCGGCAGCAGGTCTCATCGAGGAAGAGGCTTCTGATTGCAACGGAGATGGGGGCGTCTGGTGGTACCCTATAAACAAACCGTGGCTGAACTTTTTCTGGAATAAGAGACTAACCCAATTGAAGGACGACCCGGACCTATGCAAAGTCTCGCACTTACTCTTGCCTCCATGGCAGAGAACTGCCTCTCCATGTCATTGTTGAAGCAAATTCATGCATTCACAATCTGTAATAATCTCCGCCACCACCCTATTTTGCTAGCTAAGATCCTTCGTTTTGCTGCAGTTTCACCTGCGGGTGACTTACTCTATGCCCAACGCCTGTTCGATCAAATTCCTCAACTAGACACTTTCTTTTATAATACTCTGATTCGAGGTTACTCTAATAGTCCATGGCCTGCTTGCTCAGTCCGTTTGTTTAATGAGATGAGGCATAATCGTCTTGATCCAGATGGGTTTACTTTCACGTTCATGCTTAAAGCACGATCAAGGATGAAAATGAGTTTACCTGCAATCATGGGGTCAGATGAGATACATGGGGCGGTATTTAAGTTTGGGTTTCTCACGCAATATTTGTTTGTGCAGAATGGGTTAATTCATTTGTATGCATCAAGGGGAATACCTATGGCAGCTCATAGAGTGTTTAATGAAATGGTGGCTGTGGATGTTGTTTCGTGGTCTGGTTTAGTTGTGGCACATGTGAAAGCACGGGAGCTAGAACATGCAAGGTGGGTTTTTGATCAGATGCCTGAGAGGGATGTGGTTTCTTGGACTGCTATGGTTGCTGGGTACTCACAAGCAAAGCGGTCAAGGGAGGCGTTAGAATTGTTTAGGGAGATGAGGGAGGCAGGGGTGAGACCTGATGAGGTAACTATGGTGAGTGTGATTTCCGCTTGCACAAATTTGGGTGATATTGGAACTGGACTGGATGTGCATAAGTACATCAACGAGAATGGATTCGGGTGGATGATTTCCCTTTGCAATGCATTGATTGACATGTATTCAAAGTGTGGATGCATGGACCGAGCTTGGCAAGTATTCAGTAACATGAATAGAAAGAGTTTGATTACTTGGAATACAATGATCATGGCCTGTGCAAACTATGGTAATCCAGAAGATACATTTGCACTGTTCAGCTGCATGTTAAATTCTGGGATTTTACCTGATGGGATTACATTCCTAGCCCTCTTGACTGCATATGTACACAAGGGGTGGGTTGATGAAGGATGCCAACTGTTTGAGAGGATGCAAAGAGATTACAGAATCCAGGCAGGTGTTGAGCATTACAGATGCATGGTGGATCTGTTAGGCCATGCTGGGAGGTTGGAGGAAGCATACAATTTAATAACCAGCATGCCGATGCCAAGCAATGATGTTGTTTGGGGAGCTTTACTTGCAGCTTGTAGAATTTATGGTGATGTAGATATGGGTGAGAGGGTTGTTCAGAAGCTATTAGAGTTAAAGCCACATGAAGGAGGCTACCATGTTCTCCTTCGTGATATTTATGCGATTGCAGGTCAAAGAGTAGAAAGCAAATAAGATGAGGAAGAAAATGAGGGACAATAAAGCAAGGATGACTACAGGCTGCAGTTGGGTGGAAGATTAACCTTGTAACCGGTTTATGCACATTTACAGTTGCCAAAGTTCCAAAAAATTATGCATAACAACACATTATTTTACACTGCAGTGGCTACAAGTTTAGGTGGCACAATGTTGTCAGCCTCTTTGCCTGTAGGAGATCATCTGTATCTTGAATCAATTCATTGGATTGGATTATATGTAAGTTGCTTCACTTGTACCGACATTTATTCTTTTCTTCTTTCTCCCTTTTTTTTTTTTTTTTGGAAATTCATGCAAGTTTTTACTAGCAACCATTTGATTTGCAAGGTCAGTGTTTGATGGACCGTGAGGAAGATGGATATCAGAAAAATCATTGTCAATACCAACTTTTAACATAGCTTCTGTTTTTCAGTTTACGACCTCCTGCCTGCCTATTTGAATTTTCTTCTTTTCTACATGAATGTGAGAAATATTACCTCTTGTCCAGTGTCCAGTATAACCAATAACCATAACCTCATTTATTGAACGATCATAATGTTAAGGAATCACAAATTGGATTTTAACATGAGTTATTCAGATGGACAAAGCCATCAAGCTAATAACAATTAAGCATAAAACAAGAAACCCAAACATATGTTTGGGATTTTATTGGGACACAGAAGACACTGACATACTCCGAAACACACTTGGGTAGCAGATACCATCAAAAGAGACACGCCCACCATTCATTTAGTACCGAAACTACGTGGCATGAACTCTATTTAGAAAGCAACCTGCAGTCTCATTACTCGTCATCATAGCGCCTGTGGTGATGGTGCGCATAGTGGTGATGCTTCTCCTCATTATCATCAGAATAGTCATCCCCCTGGAATTTGATATGTGGTCAATGAGATGAGTTGTGCACCAATTATAGCATAAAAAGAGCAGACGTCAATGTATAATAACAAAGAAACCACTCACATGAATAAGAATATATAGTTGTACAATGTTTAGTTTGGTTCCAATACATACGCATGGCCACAAATGAGACATAAAGGTAAATATGTGCATAAAATTAACATGGCAAGAACAAGCATGTTTCCAGTACCTTTGCATCGTAACTGTTGAGAATTCAATATCTATCCATGTGTATATGTAGAGAAGAGACAACAATTCATTCAATATATATAAAAGACGTCGAGGGTCAAGAAATCATCAGACTGCTATGCTTATATGATCCATAATACAACTAAAATGAAACACAAAGCCAAGAACCAAGTAAGAAAATTTTCAGCAAACACTAATACATGCAAATGTATAAATAACAATGCTATAAAATTAATAAACACATTTAAATTTTTTTTGGTACATATGAATACATATAATATTATGAATAAATTTTAAATAAAAAAAATCAATTATTCAATACGTTTAGATCAAATGATTAATCACTTGTCTTTTAGTGGAAGCACTACTCAACTTTGATGTTCGATTTCTCAAGAATTCTTACATTCCTCTTGATATGGTATGAATATTTATAAAAAATTACCTTTGTTTAAAAAAAAAAAGATAATAATAAAAAAAATCATAACACCTTACAATTATAAATTTATAAAACAAGTCACACTATAATTATATCCAAATATTAGTACTTGAGACGAAACCATTAAAACTAAAGGACCAGTTCTATAATTATATCATTTTCGATCCATCTGTAGATACACATAGCAAACAATCTAAGACTTCAGGATAAATGCCAGTATCAAAAACGTGAATTGACAGAAAAATTAGAACAAGAAACTCAATGCAATGACCTGAATCATCATAGAAACAAAACAACCGAGAGAATTTACTCACATATTTCTTGCGGCCGTAGCTCTCTTCACCGCCATAGCCAGAGTCCTCATCAGCGCGCCTCCCATAGCTCGGTTTTGGATCCTCATCCTCCTCCTCAGATCGTCCATAGCTCGGCTTCTCATACTCGCTCCTCCCCCCATAGCTAGACCCATACTCGGATTCCTTCCTTCCTCCATACCCTGACCCGTACTCTGAGGGCCTCTCGTATTCAGTCCTTTGGCCATAACCGGAGCCGTATTCAGATCCAGCTCCCTCATATTCTGGCTTCTGGCCATAGCCAGACCCATATTCCGATTCTGGTTGTTCGTACTGGGGCTTCCGGCCATAGCCAGATCCATATTCAGATTCCGACTGCTCATACTCCGGTTTCCTGCCATAGCCAGACCCATACTCCGATCCAGGACGATCAGACCCTGGCTTTTTGCCATACCCGGATCCACCTTCATACTCCGGCTTTCTGCCATAACCAGATCCGTACTCTGATTCAATTCCCTCAAACTCGGGTTTCCGACCGTACCCAGAACCATATTCGGATCCAGATTGCTGATATTCCGGCCTCCTGCCATATTCAGACTCAGAACCGTAGGCAGGTTGAGGCGTGCCCCCGTATCCACCACCAACTCCTGGTCGGGGCTTGGGTCTGGCATAGCTGCTGTACTCATTTTGAAGCACCTCGTCACCGTAAGCAGAGGGCTCCGCGTAGGAGGAGAAGTTGGGGCGAGCATAGTCGAAGTCCCCATCGGAAGGCGTGGAGGAAGGGTAGCATGTCTCCTCGGACGGTGGCAGAGGGCGTCCGTATTGCAAATACATGTCGTAGCCACCACCGTATGGTGTTGGATCGAACTCGTCGAAGTCGTCGACTTTGTCCACGCCGGGCCTCGAGTAGTACGGCATGTTCCGGTGTTGGAAGCTGTTTTTCCGTTTTTCTGGTTTTGGGATCCGATGAATCGGCGGGGAAAACTGAAATTCGCGGGGTGCGATTTAAATAGAATTTTTGTCGGGCCCAAACGGTGACGTATAAGCAGATTGTTTTAGTAGGCAAACGACATGGTCTCATTTTCAGATTTTACTACTATTTTTATCATCACCGAAATGTTGGCCATTGGTTTATATTGGATTTAAATTTCCTTTTGGTCCATAAAGTATATGAGCGATAATGATTTAGTCCATCTTGTTTCTTTGTCTCATTTTGGTCTTTAACGTTTTAAACTACTACTACTACTGTAATCCTTAGCAATAATGTTGTTATATTATTAGAAGTCTCCTATCTTAATGTTATTAAATACATGGATATATATTATATTACCATTAAATTTTAAATAAAATAAAAAATATTAATCGTATAATAACACAAATTTATAATACTATGTTATTAACACCAAAAAATAGATAATATGATTTCAATGAGGTAGAGATGAATGGTGGGTACTTGCAAAATAGAGAAACGTAAGAGCTTAGCCAAAGACCGGAGTTGGTCTTTGACTTGACACTTTCGATGCTCAATATTGGTAAAGGATTCATGGGAAAAAAAAATGGTGTGTGTGAGTGAAGAAGACAAAACGTGTGTGAGATAAAAGGTGAGTGAGTGTCTATCAATGAAAGAGAATGAGTGAAAAAGGCATCTAACTGTTATCTTCATGCGATTGCTTTTAAATCATATCAAGTTTTCGATTATTCAATCAAAGCATATCATCTATTTATTTTAAAGTATTTTTTAAATAAAATAATTATTTATGATATTTAATAAGATTCTTAAATTTAAACCAAGTTTTCACAAACTTAATCTATTCATTTTTACTTAAGTCGTACTTTGAGTATAACACATATAATATTATAACTAAATCAATTTTTCCTATATCTATAAGCACCATCCCTTAGAAACCCGGGATTTCGATTCCATGACAGCTGCCAAGTGGTCTTAAGTAAAGTGGCAAAAATATCATTTGAACCCTTAAACTTTCACTAGTTTCTCAATAAAGTCTTTAAACTGTTTTTTACTAATTAAACCTCATTAACTAATTAATTGTTGGTCTAAATAAAAAAAAATCAATTTTCTTAAATAACACTTTAAATTTAAATTTTATGAATAAAAAAACAAATTAAGATAACTTTCTCACTTATGTGATTTGACTCACCTTTTCGACTCCATGTTAATCAAAGCTTAATGCAATTTCTTAATATTAAATAATTAAAAAAAAAAACCCCCATTAAGCATGTTTAGTTGACATTCTCCCTCACACTTTCTTCTTTATTGGATTACCCGTTGAAGTCGCTTGGTACCTTGGATGTAGGAAGTAGGGTGACTCGAGAAGCAGAGAGATGGTCGAGTCAAGTTAAGAAAATGTGGAAACCACTAAACAATAATGCAATCAGGATCTAATGGAAACAATTAAAACGGTTAGAAACTTACCCTCAATACGAAGAAAAGGCTCAAAACTTTACTTCTGATGCCCGACGAGAAAAGGAAAGAACATAAAGATCGGTTACTTTTGTCCCGATTGAGGACCAAGGAGGGCAGAGGAGGTGACACCTAACCGCCTCCTCCCCACTGCCGAGCAAAGCCAAGATTCTCTGTCCATTATCCTGAATTCTTGATAAGATAGCAAGGTATTACATTTTTTAGATTCAAAGCTGCATTCCGATTTTCTCTTTGTCTGCTTTTGCCTCCTCAATTTGATCCCATCGCCACTCCATACCCTCTTCAAAGAACTTCACACAAAGTGAGAAAGCAGTGTTCTTTTTTGTTGGGTCAATGGCTGCGAGGGTGATGACCGTGGCGCAGGACGGCACCGGAGACTTCCTGACGGTACAGCAGGCGATAGATGCTGTGCCCTTCAGCAACACCTGTCGTACCGTGATTCGTCTCAGACCTGGCATCTATAGGCAGCCCGTTTATGTGCCCAAGACCAAGAATTTTATCACCCTCGCGGGTCACAGCCCCGAGCACACAGTCATCACCTGGAACAATACTGCCACCAAAATCGACCACCACCAGGTAATTAAAAGCAAATTCCGTGCTGCTGCCTCATCTGAGTATGTGGCATATATAGATTATTTATTCATTTATTTATTTCATAATGGGGGTGTTACTCTTATGGGCCAGGGGTCTCGGTTGATTGGGACAGGAACGTTTGGATGCGGGACTGTGATAGTGGAGGGAGAGGATTTTATTGCAGAAAATGTCACTTTTGAGAACTCGTCTCCTCAGGTACAGCCGTTAAATTCTGCTTTGTTAGGTTAGTTTTGTTCTTGCCCTGTTTTTCATTGCTTTGTTATTGACTTTGGTTACTGTGTCTTCAAAACTTTGTGGGTCTATGTCTAGGACCTTCTTCTTTTCAGTCATTAGATCCTTTTTTAATATTGTTTGAATTTTTTTTTTTATTGTCCATTTTTTTGCGACTGCTTAGTCCATATATTTAGAAGTTTAGTTATGTGTGCAATGAGTTTATTTGAGTTTCTATGATCAAAGATTTTGCTTCTAGCCTTTGGCACTTTCAAAGTTAGCAATTCAGGTTCTGGGTATTGTCTAAGGTTCATATTTTGAGTTGTTTATGAATGCTTTGAAGTTGGTGAAGTGATCATCTCTCTTTTTGTCGTTTTCTTACAGGGCTCAGGGCAAGCTGTGGCACTCAGAGTAACAGCGGATAGATGTGCGTTCTATAATTGCAGGTTTCTTGGGTGGCAGGTGCTGTCTCTAATTTGGTTTGTCTATTAATATGTGCGTCCAACCCCAGAAGAAGCAAAGATACCCCTTTTTATCATGAAGCAATATAATTGAATACTTTAAACTTTTGTTTAGAAACTCTTCTTGGAAACAGAAACATTTCATCTGTCGTAAACATCTGGGAGTATTGATCTATAGCCTACAATTGAGAAGAATTTCTGTTGTTGTTGTTGCGTGCGTGTGTTTGTGGTTTTTTTTTTTTTGTCTTGAAGAAAGGCATCTCTACTGATAGAATGGCGTGTGTAAGAAATCAATCTTTTGCTGATCCAACTAATAAATTTAAGGATCAAGAACAATGTTACCAAACTATATGTTTTTGTCTACAAATGGTTCTCTTCTGCAAAGAGCTCTTATGTTTTCATGTCCATTGGAGGATGTATATGGCATTTAAAAATTTACTGTTGGCTGAAACATTACTGCTTCCTACCAAAAAAATTCACTGCGTTTAAAACCTTTTGCAGGATACTCTCTACTTGCATTATGGGAAACAGTACCTGAAAGATTGTTACATTGAAGGAAGTGTGGACTTCATTTTTGGAAATAGCACTGCTCTCTTGGAGCATTGTCATATTAACTGCAAGTCAGAAGGTTTTATAACTGCACAGGGCAGGAGGAAGTCTTCTCATGAACCAACTGGTTATGTGTTTTTGAGGTCCGTAGTTGTCTAGATGTACTTTTTGCTTTCCTTGTTCTCTTTATTTTTATCCATATCAATTGTCCATTATGGTCTTGCATAAATATCTGAAATTCCAAATAAATTTTTGGGGATATAGAATGTGGAGATTATTCTTCAAACAAGTTAAAATTTGCATTTGGCTACTTTTGAGAAGTTTGTGATTTGACTGATATATATGTCAACCAAAATGAAAATTGCAAAAGATTAAAAGGATTGTTTATGGTTTAAACTTTCGGGGGAAGTTTTAAATGTTGTTGATCATGAATTTGGATCATAGAATCTCCACAAATAGTTGTGCATAGGCAAATTTGCAATCATTGTTTTTCAACTTATCCCAAGCTGAAAGAAAGGAATTGGACCATTCTATTGCTAAAATTTAGTATTAATTATTAAACCTTCGAATTTTACTGCCATCATGAGGAGGTGACCAAACATGAGATCCATGTGTAGTTAACTTTTTATGGTTAAAGGGTACATGATTATTTGACTCATGTACTTCCTCGCTATGGAATATGATTATAGTTGCCTTCTATATCTCTTATGCCTTGTATAAATAATCTTCAATCATCCAATCCAGTTTCCTTGTAATTTTGTTGTTTACTGAATTAAATAGTTTTTCTCCTCTTGATAAGCAAGACCACTCTCCAAAGGTTTTTGTATTAGTGATAATTTTTTAATGCCTTCTCCATTTAATAGCATTTTGTCATTGATGCAGATGCGTAATCACTGGCAATGGGGAAGCTTCATACATGCTTCTTGGACGTCCATGGGGACCCTTTGGAAGGGTGGTCTTTGCATACACTTACATGGATAAATGTATCAAACAAGAAGGTTGGCATAATTGGGGTAAAGCTGAATATGAAAGAAGTGCTTGCTTTTATGAGTACAGGTATATTGGTGACTTTGGAAGTTTTGTTACACATTTACTCTCAAGCTTCTTAATAAACCTGAGGAAATATCACCTTCTCCATGTTCATAAACTTTTATTACCTTGAAATTTTGATTGATATGTCTCCAACTAACAAGTGGCTTGACTGAGTTCTCTGGCTGGAACTAGGAACTATGAATGAAGGAACAGCCTCTGGATTTGATTATTTTCTATCTTTATCAAGAATGAAAAAAAAAAAAAGGGCATTGAAGCTCTGGTTTTATGGGATAATCCAATAATGCTTTGAAGCTTTTGTACCCTTTCCAATCTCCGGTCAATAGCTTTTCCAAAAGTTAATGTTTGTAATCTGCCTTACCATTGTTTAGTCATTCACATCACTGATTATGGATCTTTTATTGAAACTACAGGTGTTTTGGACCAGGTTGTTGTCCATCAAAGCGGGTAACATGGGCTAGAGAACTGATGGACGAAGAAGCAGAACAATTCTTGTTGCATAGTTTCATTGATCCTGATCCAGAAAAACCTTGGCTTGCTCAGAGAATGGCACTGAAAATACCATATTCTGCTTAGAAGTCATTTCTCCAAGGTGCCACTGGAAAATTGCAAGGGAATAATTTGGGATATGATGGTATATAAACCACTCATATGTGAAGAATAATACCTGCAACAGACCTACTTAAAATTTTTCTTTTCTCTGAAGGTGCAGAAACATTACAAACCGCTTGTTCAACCATAAACTCTTATCTTTTATCTTTTAGACTTTTACAGCCTTTGGCTGAAAAGATTGTGAAGATAATCACTGTCTTGTATGATCAGGTGGATTAGTCCAAGCTATTGCCATGTTAATGTTTGTTTTGATTTTGAGCAATTTCAGAATCTTAAAAATAGAAAAAAACAAAGGCTTGTTGGCTATACTGGGCTATACCATGCCATACCGTGGTAGTAAGTTTTTTTTTTTTTTTTTTTTTTTTTTTGTATTTTATTATTTTAAAAATATATACCGTAAAATATTAACTCAAATTAATAAAATATATTAAAAATAATTGAAATATATGAAAAATTAATCAATCTACATTTTTAAATACAACACTATGTTAGAAGGAATCTGGGGGGAGCATTGTCAAAGTCGAATTGACATTCATCATACATCTACATAAAAAACTGAAATCCTTTCGTTCTCTACCGTAAAAAAAAAAAAAAAAAAGGTTGGGATTGGAATAATAATTAATTGAATTCCTCTCTTTTTTTGTGGGGTGACGACCTTATACAAAAAGTCGGAAACAGAAGGCTCAAGCAAAATGCCATATCACAGGATTGACTGAGACCTAAAATGTGGGTGTGGTTATTGCACCATTAAAAAAATATTAATTTGTTTTAAAATATTAATTTATTAATTAAT